ATAAAATAAATAAATAATTTTCTGTTAATATGTGATAATGTGTAATTTAATTAAGAATTAATTAACTTATATAATTATATTAAAATATTGGATCAAGGGATAATTATCTTTAATATTTATTTAGGATAAAATTGAATCTATATATATTTATGACGAATCTGGAGGGAGAGAGATGCTCGGCCACGTGTTGGCCAAGGCGTGGCGTCACCTCCCTATAAATAGGGAGGGTGATCAATCTGGAAGAGAGAAAGAAAAGAAAAGGGAAGAAAAGAAAGAAGGAAATAAAGAAAAGAAAGAGGAAAGGAAGGAAGAAATAATGGAAGCTGAAATGGTCTTTGATAGTGGAAAAAAAGAATAAGGTATTAAAGTTAAGGTGAGTTATATTATATCTTGAGTCACCAAAATGTATTTTACATATGTTTTAACTTACCAAAATCTATTTTATACAAATTATGTTTTTAATAAAAGTTATGTTTTATAAAAGTTTTAGTTACGTGGTTTATCTTCTGAACCCTATTTCCTTAAAAGGAAACCCATGGATATGTCTGTTTATATTTTAAAGAATATTTAGCTATGACCTTATATAAAATTATGTTTTGTAAGTACCACACGGGAGTCCCACGCCTTGGGGGACTTAAATAACCACTGGCCTCTGTTTGGTTACTTTGTGGCCCTCTGATCCATTGACCTCTGTTCTGTGCGAACCAAAATGCTGTGCGGAGCTAAGTGCTACACTATTGTGGGAGTCACCTCTAGAATTCGTACGAGCCACCTCTTGAATCCGTACCTCTGTCCTGTGCGGACCAAAATGCTGTGCGGAGTTAAGTACTACACTATTGTGGGAGCCACCTCTAAAATCCGTACGAGCCACCTCTTGAATCCGTACCTCTGTTCTGACTGTCACTTCTGTAACCTCTGCTCTATTCTATTATGTTCTGTACCGTGGTTATGGTTATATATTTATATAATATCTGTATTTCAGTTTCTGCTACTTAAATAATTTGTTTATGTAAATGTTTTGGCCTAACTAACGATCCATGGTTATTTCGTGTCCCTTATACTCTTGGTATAATATTTCTCACTCTGCCATGTACTTATAGTTGTTTACCAATTTTTAGGAAACAATACAATTCAGAAATAGCTTATGGAAAGTCTTAGACGCGGGACTGCGGAATAGACACACACACAGCACCTTTATGATATTTTTATATATAAATATCGGTCTTTTTGGTCAATAAATTTTGTAATAAAAATAGAAGCTCCGATGATTATTTTCGTACCCTTATTTAAATATTATTTCCGCTTGCGTTTATTGCTTTGTTTAAGAATTGGCCGTAGGTAACTTCAGTTACTGGCCATCACGATGCTTAACCCTTGGGTACGGGGAGCGGGTCGTGACAGTTTAAGCTCGAGCAGAGCCTTTTGTTTGCATGTCTGCTCGAGCGGGGACACCCACGCTCGAACGGGACCTCTGTTTTCTGAAAATTCTGAAAATATTTTTTTTAAAGTGCATCTTTGCATCCTCATTTCATTCTAGGCATTCTTAGGCCTAGTTTAAGACATCTTAACGAGGATATTGATGTAGAACCACACCGAGTCAAGATAGGGATTAAGTTATTATTTCCCAACTGTGTAGCTTAATATGTGTTCACTCTGTAACTATGTAGGGCTGGCATTCGAGGACGTGTACTAGCTTATCTGTAGCCCAGAACTCTGTGAGTAACAATGTTGTAAAGATATGTTCAATTGAGATTATTTTCTGAACAAATGACTGTATTGCTTTATGAAATGACATTGTTTACTGAATGAATGTTTGTCCTATTTGTGAACTGTGTTCGTGGCATCCATAGCAATACACTGTTACTGAACTGTTACTGCTACTGTTACAGAGATCTCTGTCGATTCCCATGTTTGGAACCACTACTGTTTACTGATATGATGGCCATCATTGACTGTTCGGTCTGTTAAAACCTACTGTACTGTTTTGCTATTGGGTGTACCATATATGACTATTATAGTTTCTGAATGACTGTTATGACATGAATTATGAGGCACAAACTGAATGACTGATATATTGACAATTGACTGTTTTCAATACTGAAGGGACATTCATTCTTAATCTCTTTACGCATATGTTATTTACTAGGTTTTAGCTCACTGCTTATATATATATATATATATATATGTAGGTGTTCAGGCACCGGACCGTTGCTAAAGCATCAGGCTGAGCCCTTGTTTTGTCAAGCCAACCTTTGTGCCTCACTTCGAGGTTCCAGATCTGTTCAAGCTAGGACTTTTCGGGGTGTTTTAGTTTTCCCCCTTTGTATCTGGTTTTGTAACACTGTATAGACTGTTACCGTACTGTTATGGTGGGGACTCAGTCCCTAATCTGAATGCCTGTAAATAATGTATGTATGTACTGCTTTTGTATCCCATGTGAATATGTTATGAAAAGTTTTTTGCATACAGATTGTCACGGCTCATTGAACATCTTTTAATTACTGTTTTGACTTCCGCCAGCCCCTGTACTCTGTATTTCTGTTTGACTGTTAAGCAGGCCTTCGGTAATCTCGGATTATTGGCCGGTTACGGTGCTAAACCCATAGGGGCGGGTTTGGATCGTGACAGTAACCGTGGTTGCACACAATGGTTGTACTTGAATTTTTATTTTGCTAGTTCATGTATCGGTGCTAATTATGTTGTAATATTTTGTTTTGAATTTTTTTTTTTAAAACCATGTGGTAGTTTTTTTAATGTTTGTTAGTCAATGTATGTTTTTTTAATGTATGGTTCATGTATCAGTACTATACTTGATTTTTTTTTAATGTTTGTTAGTTCATGTATGGTTTTTTTTAAACCATGTGGTAGTTTTTTTAAACCTTGATAGGTTAATTTCATATAAAATATACTTATGACAAATATGAATATGACAATTATGTTTAAAAAAAAAAAGCAATTACGTATAGAAATGGCAACAAATGTTGAGTACATATAAAATATGAAAATGGAAATATGAAAAATATGAAAATAGAAATATAAAATTGGAATCTATTGTATACATTTTTTTTTGCATTTTTGCAGTTTTTTTTATTTGCAAAATTTAATTATGTTAAAATCCTAGTATGTGTAAAAATGGAAATATTCAAGTATGTATAAAAATGGAAAATCCAAGTATTTTTTTTGCAGAATTTGTTTTTTGCATTTTTGCAACTTTTTTTTTTTGTTTGCATTTTTACAAAATTTAATTACGAAAAAAATCTGAGTACGTATAAAAATGGAAATTTCGAATTATGTATGAAATTGAAATTTATTTTATATCATTTTTTACATTCTTGCTGATTTTTTTTTAATTGAGGGTGTTTGTATTTTTTCTCAAAAAAACCAACCAAACAGAATTCTAAGAATTTTTTTTGAAAATGTGTTTGGAAACATGTTTCAAAAGTGATCCTAGAAAAAGTTAACCAAACACATTTTTGAGAATTTTTTAGAAAAATCTATTTGATTATTCCCAAAAATATATTTGTAAAGCATATTTCATTTTTTTTTTTTTTTCTCAAACACAAACAAACAAGGCCAAAATCTGATGATTGCAAGTAGGGTTGCAAACGAACCGAGCCGAGTTTTGCTGAGCTCGAACTTGGCTTGTGTACTTATCGAGCTCGTTTATTGAGTTCGAGCTCGGCTCGACTCGTTAATATTAATAAAACTTAAGCTCAGCTCAGCTCGATAAATTTTTTTTAATATTATTTATATAATTTAAATATAAATATTTAAATAAAAAATATTATTTATATTATTTAATATATAACAAATGTATTTATATTATTATTGACATATTATTTAATATATAAATAATATATTTATTATATAATTTAAATAAAGATAAACGAGTCAAGCTTGACCAATCGAGCCTATACGAGCTCGAGTTCGACTCATTTACTAAACGAGCTTAGTATTCAAGTTCGAGTTCGACTAATTTACAAAACGAACAGAGCCCTTAACGAATTAGGCCGATATTATTTATGAACAGCTCAATCCATTTGCAATTCTATTTGCAATCCTAATTGCAAGCTAGCTGGAACATATGGCCAAAAAAAAGAAAAAAAAGAACTTCTGGATGTGTTTGGAAATAACTTCCAAATTAGGAATTGTTTTGTAATGTTTTAAATCCATCCCAACAAACAAACGACGCCGCTGCAAAAAATAACAACCAATACATAGAGAGGCAAATGGATAACAGAGATTAATATCCTGAAAGTGGAAGGTGTCATGATCTCATTGGCCAAGTAGAATTCTCTTGTAAGCAATCACTCCGTAACATCTCAGCAAAGCAATCAGCCAGTAAAAATTCTCTCATCCCGAGAAAGTCGTCAACAATCACTTTCTCTCTCCATCTTTCTATGGGCACCCCAATAGAATTGGGGTCACGACTGTACTTTTGACATAATAATAACTGTTGTGTTTTATTTTAAAATGTATTGTGCGTTTATTTTTATGATTTGAACAGTAATTTTATAGGATTTATTAAGCCTCCGTTTGGGAAGTGGGTTGGTTTTTTAACTTTTTGGTTTTTTTGACTATTTTAGCCTGGGCTAAAAAGCTTGGTTTGGGAAGGGTTTTTTGACTTTTTGACTTTTTTGACTTTTTTTGTGAGAGAAGAGTGTAATGATTATGGGTTGGATGTGATGTTTTGTTTGTTGTGGCTAAAATAGCATATTTTGTCTTTTATGGCTATTTTAGCCCAACCCAACTTGCCAAGCACAAGCTAAGTATTTTATATTTGTCAAAAATTATATTAATCGGATATCAATAATTATATAATTGGATTGTATATTTTTATATTATTTTTCAAAAGAAAAACTTCTTATTTTTTTTTTTATTATCAATCATATAATTATTGATATCCGATTAATATGATTTTTGATAGACATAAAGTACTGAACAAACTCTACAATATGAACAATTCAGATTATAAAAATAAATTCATAATGCATTATAAAATGAAGCACAACAGCAGTGAGCTTCACTCTCCTGTTACCACTCCAACAACTATTTCTCTCTCTTCATTGCCTCACACTGGCGGTGGCTCGAAACGCTCAATTTCAATTCTCTCTCTCCTCAGAAACCCCAATTTCAAGACCAAGAGCACTTCATCATCATCATCATCATCATCATCATCATCGCCGCTCATGGCCACACCACTACAAGTCTACGCGTCCTCTACCATCGGTCTCTCTCTCTCTACATTTCTCTCTCTTCATACACATTGCATATGTATTGTTTCGATTCATGTAATTGTGAATGCATATACTTCTTGCTTGCATTGTGCGATTCTCAACTGAATTATTGATATGTTTGTTTCTCGTGAAAATTTGAGTAATGATACGTTTTGTTTTGATTTGGATATTTGGATGATGAAGATGCACCAAACGATGCAATGGATGCTTCGTCCCCTGGTTTGGTCGGAGCCAATGATTTGCTGATAGTGGGGCCGGGTGTTCTCGGCCGGTTAGTTGCTCAAAAATGGCGGGAGGTATGACTCAACCCATTATACTGTATGAATTCTTTGTTTATTTAAAAATTAAAAAAAAAATTAGCTATTTGTCTGAGTACGATATGATCATGAATTGAAGGGTTGGCCCAACCGTAAAGATTTGAGGATTAGATCGTATGGAAAGTTTGTTCTGTTGTTAATTTCAATGTATTGAGATTAGTTGAGGTGCTCAGAAATTGGCCGGACACCCATTTATCAAAAAAATTATATCACACATTGGGGAGACAGCTAGAATTATAACATGTCAGGACCCAAACTCGGTGTCCAGAGATTTGGCATCGCAACAAAATAATAACTGAAATCCTAACAATTAATAGTGCAGCGGAGCGGAATAAAATAAAAGGGTATATAAATCTTAATTATAACATATACATTGTCGACTCTATTTATTTACATTGTCAGAGGTGAACTATAATTATAAAGTGCCTTGTGCCTATATGCATTGGTCTTAACATGTCTTCTGAAAGTGGTTAACAGTTATAAGCACATGACAGAGTGAGAAATATTATATTGAGAACATAAGGACATAAAATTCATCATGGATAATTATTTGGTTAAACAGAGATTTGTTTGGTAACAAAAATACATAAATCATTTTAAATAACAAAAGCATAACGTAGAAATCATGTAAGCAAATAATCATAATCACGGTACAGAACAGAACAGATTATATGTATGGATTCAAGAGGTGGCTCGTACGAATTTTAAAAGTGACTCTCAAAATAGTGTAATACTTAGCTCTGCACAACACTTTGCCCTACACTAGAAATCAGAGGGTAAATGGATCTATGACAGCAGAGAGTCACATAAAGTGACAATTCAGAGAGCCAATGGTTATTTAAGTCCCCAAGCATGGGACCTCCATGGATAATTATTTGGTTAAACAGAGATTTGTTTGGAAATAGAAATACATAAATCATTTTAAATAACAGAAGCATAACGTAAAAATCATATAAGCAAATAATCATAATTACGGTACAAAACAGAGTAGATCATATGTATGGATTCAAGAGGTGGCTCGTACGAATTCTAGAGGTGGCTTCCACAATAATGTAGCACTTAACTCCGTACAACATTTTGCTCTACACTAGAAATCAGAGGGTCGATGAACCCATGACAGCAGATGGCTACATAAAGTGACATCAAAACATAGGGTCACATAAAGTGACAATTCAGAGAGCCAATGGTCATTTAAGTCCCCAAGCATGAGACTTCCGTAATGGTATTTACAAAATAATTGTCAAAAACACATTTAATAAACAGTTATATCCATTTGTTTCATTTTTTAAGCAAATAGGGTTCAGTTAACAAATAATATACTTTAAAAAACTAATATGATTGGCAAAACAGATTTTACATAAAACAACTTGTGGAAACTCAAAATATAATATAATTCACCTTAAACTTGATCATTTACTCTCACTTCTGACTGACCTCTCATATACCCCTCGTTTGTTATTCTTGTGATTTTATTACCATGCAACTCAACTAATTATAGGTAAGAAGACCCTTACTATGTAGCACACCATGTGATACCACATGACTCCACGCTTCTCAGGAGGTTTCTTGAAATCTATGCACAAGTTCCCTATATTCTTCTATGGCCCATAAAATGTTATAATTACATTTTTTTTTTCAAAAATTAAGTACATATATTTTGGGGTGTCACATAACACATATACACAAAAACTACATGTTTCAATGTCTTTGCGTTGTAGACTAAAATTGTGTGCTTGCTATAGTAATTCTCTGCCCTTTTTGCTCAATGTGCAAAATGAATTTCTCACAACGATGTAAACAGTGAAAGAGTGAATTGTTTGTGTGGAATGCTGGGTTTTGTGGGCATACAGATTGAATGTAGTGTGAGAAAATCATATAGAGAGAATTGTTTGTATGAAAATTAGAGAGAAGGATAGTGAGGTATTTAAAAGGGGAAGGGAAGCTTCTGCCTTTTCAATAAGTGGGGGGCTGGGGTTGCCAGTATGTTGAATTGAATAGGCTAGTTATATATGTGACACTAAATATGCAGGGGTAAGTCAAAAGTTAGGGGGTGCCATGCACCCCACCATTCAACATAGTTCTGCCCTGGATATGAGCCTAGTGTAATTTTTTTTGTATGTCTGGCCTTTTGCATGTCCTACGGCCAGATTACATGATCCATCTATGACATCCATGCTTACCAAAATTTAGGTTAATTCGAGATCAGACCTATCCCATTCATATAGCCCCAAATTTAAAGGTATACTATATTTCAAAATGCAAGTACCTGGATGACATAGTTATCAATCTCTAATTAACCTGAAATTTGGCAAGCATAAAAGGGATAAGATGAGCATGTCATACAAATGTGGGTTTTGTGAAAGGTGAGATGCAATAAAGGTTATGAATTTTAGCACGTGTCTCTCCCCGTATTGTTTCTAAACAAGTTGTACTGGGTGTGTTAAGGTATGCATATTTTGCGAGAAAAATACTGGAATTTGTAGGTTATTCAACTTATTCTTGTGGGCAGGAGCACCCAGGGTGTCAAATTTTTGGGCAGACAGTGACTACAGATCACCATGATGAGTTGATTAAAATTGGGATCAATCCTTCGTTGAAGGAAACAAAGGCAACTCATAAGTTTCCGTATGTGGTTTTTTGTGCTCCTCCATCCCGAACTCCAGATTATCCTGGTGATGTTAGGTATGCATGAGGATTATGAACTTCCAAATCACAATTGAACATAGTTATGTGTTAATGCACTATTATGATAATTTGGGCTTACTAGGCATTTGTGCAGTATATTTGACCATCCTTGCTGGCAGAATTGTGCAGGAAGGTGGTTGTACGTGGGATTTTTTTTGAATCGTAATTGATATGCATGTTCACATCCATTTATGAGATTACTCTGGTTTTGATCTGTTGTAAAATTTTCTAGATGATCATGAAATGATTTCTATAATCATGTATGGTGCCTATACATTGAAAATTTCCTGTTATTAGATGTGTAATGTCTTCAATTCATTGTGATCAATTGAAAATGAATGAGAATGTTGGGAATTCAGGAATTGGATCAATTAGGGTATAGATGCAGTATGAATTGCTAAGTAATAATAGGTCATGGAAAGCTAAGATTGAATTTGTTTTAGATGGTTAGGCTGACAATATTTTAACAATCAGGAAAAAAGTATAGGGTGTCAATGTGTCCTATTTTATCTTGCATTTTTTATGTTCATTTGCAGTAACTTGTTTTCGAATTCAGTTTTTGTTTCAATTTTTGAAGGCAGATGATTTCTGCACTTACATTATTGGTTTGTAATGACTAGGGAAGCTGTGTCAAGCTGGAGTGGGGAAGGTTCTTTTCTATTTACTTCAAGCTCTGCACCCTATGATTGCAATGACAATGGATCATGTGATGAGGTGTTACATCTAACATGTTATTCTGCTTGGAACAGTTTTGTGTTCTTAGATCATAAAAGTCTTTCCCTGCATAGTTCGAGATACAGGCACATCATCTGAATTTATTCTGACAATTTGCTTGAATTAGATTCCAAATGCATTTAATTTGTTGCTTGTTATATGTTGTGAGCTTTTGTAATTCTCTTGTTTTGGAAAGGATGGTGAATCCTGGTTAAAAAGTGCAAGGAACAAAAATTTCCCTATATGCTTTTTTTAGTAAAATTTCCCTCTGTGATTTGGTTGGTGTAGAATCAATTTCACCAGAAAGAGGGGCAATTCATTCAAATTCACTATAAGCATCCGCTTATTTAAGAGTTTATCTGACATCAGCTATATATTGGGAAACAATATTAAAAATGCTCTGTTATATAGTTTTTGCTTGTTAATTCGGAAAAAAAGGACCTATAATTTGCTGGACATTTTGAACTGCTGAATTTACTGTTTTTTGTCAGGTCACTAAATTTTGACTTACATTCTTTTGCATGGCTATACAGGACAGTCCAGTAGTTCCAACTGGGAGGAGCCCTAGGACAGATGTCCTTTTAAAGGCAGAAAAAGCAGTCTTGGAGTCTGGCGGTAGTGTTGTAAGATTAGCAGGACTTTACATATCCTTTATGAAAATGCAAGTTATGAGATTTACATATGTCTACTGGTGCAACTTTTGGGATTTATGGTATGAATCAGTTTGTTATATACATGCATACCAACATATGTGAGCACGCACACCCCACCTTAACTCTCAATACAAAGCAGATAAAGGTGCACATGTTTATTGGTTGGAGAAAGGTACTGTTGACACTCGTCCAGATCACATCCTCAATCTTATACACTACGAGGTGAGTGTTTATCTTTGTGTGTTTTTTTATTTTCTTCTATGAATTAGTGTCCTTGCGATTCTATCTGAGTTACCTTCCCCCTTTTTCTCATTAAATTATAAATATAATTACACAATACCTTTTCTTGCTCCATGAGAATACAGGGGGAGAGAAAAAGAACAAAAAACCGTGATGGGTTTATTCTATTTAATCTCGTTACTTGAGCAGTCACTTTGATATGCTTTTCTTTTTTTTCTTCTCTCTCTCTCTCTCTTTTTGTGGGTCAATTTTTTATGCTTTTTAATTACAAGATAAATTACAAATACACCCTTGAGATTTGCTTAAAATATGAATTGCCTCCTGTGGTTTGAAAAATTACAAATGCTTCCCTGTCAGAATTTTTTATTTAACAGAATTAATTAAAAAAGTAAAATTTCTAATTGTTCACCTATACAATAATAAAATTATTTGAATTAATAATTGAAATAAAATTTTAACATTATTAAAAACTGTTAATTAACTTAATGATTTATTAATAAAAGAACCTATTTGTTATGAAATTAGAAACCTTAGGAGACATAATGTAATTTCTAGAACTATAGGGGATAATTTGTAATTTAAGTAAACTTCAAGGGTGTGCTTGTAATTTACCCTTAATTATATTTAGATACAATTGGAATCTGAGCTCATATTATGCTTTAGGTCAGATCTTATTTCATCATCTTCAGTCTTTCATATATTTCCTGAATTCCTAAACTGAATCTATGTGTAACCATTTGTGTTTGCGATGTCGACAACATTTAATTTGGTGTGCCTTGCATATTTCCACAAAAGGATGCAGCTTCCCTCTCAATAGCAATCTTGAAGATTAAACTTCGGGGCCGAATTTTTCTAGGCTGTGATAATCATCCTTTATCCAGGTTTTTTTTCTTTTAATTTCTGATTTGAATGTTGGGACTTTAATGACTCCTCTCTACCAAAGCTTTCCATGCAAACAAGTACAACTACCTGCAACTGCAATTTACATTATTTTTCAACAGACTGATGAAGTTTTCTTACCTTGTAAATTTGCTTTGCAGGCAGCAAATAATGGACCTGGTCAATAAAAGTGGGAAATTTAGCAAGAAGTTTGAGAGTTTTACAGGTTAGATCCTTACAACGTATAGAAACAAATATATGAGTGTTGTTGGACCAGAATTGGACTTGACCAGCTGCTCAGATTGGTGAACTGGAACCAGTGGCTTAATGCACCCGTATGAATTGACTTTGGCTCAGTTCTTCTGATAACTACTCATGGGACACCTATAGGCTATATGTAGAGACTAATGTTGTGTTAAATATATAACCGATCCCACTGATCATGCTCAATGTAATAGAAATCTGCGTCAGTATAACCACTTATTTATTTTGCAGGCACTAGTGATCCTCTTGGGAAGAAACTAAACAACATGAAAACTAGCGAGGAATTAAGATGGGAGCCAAAATACCCGAGCTTTGCTCAGTTCCTTGGAGTATCATTATAATTGCCGATTCGGTTTAGTGGAATTTAATTGCATTCAGGTGGAAGGGTAAAGATTTACAGACAGATGAAGTTGGTCACTGTAGATTTGTCTCTTTGTTGATTTTTTGATGGGCATTTGGTGCGGTACAAAATCTCAGCACTTACACAAGTGAATTGATCATAAGTAGATAATAACAAAAATAATACCTTGGTGCACATTTGATTCATTTTAAATTATGTTTACTGATTGGAACATGTAAACAGCGTGTTGGACATTTGATTCATTTTAAATTATGTTTACTGATTGGAACATGTAAACAGTGTGTTGGACGGGATAAGATGGAGGGGACGATTCTAGTAATCAACTGGGGCACAGCCTGTTTGGACTTGGGAGATGCAAAATTGTTTGTAATAAATTATGGTCTTATGCACTGTGGTTGTATATCTTGACTTTGGAGATGAAAAATGATGGAAATTGCTTTTGTTTAAGTGGGTTGTAGGAGATGATGCAAGTCTAGTTTTAGCTTTTGTTTGGTTTATGGTGGGGAATAAACCCTGTGGAATGCAAATTATAGCTCCAATGTAGTATCAAATCTATTAGACCCAAAAATGGATGGATCTGTGATATGCATTACTGGTTTCTATCACCAGACCAGATTCTTTGTCATCATCTTTCTTATCCCAATATCTTAAATTACCTGTCTACCATATGACCAAATCTAGAGAGACGCATTTCATAGTAGAGGTGCTTTTTTGGTTATCCCAAAGTATCTCTTTATCATACGGTCATTGCTAGACAGACTCGATGTGTAGCATACAATAGGGTTAGAGAAACTTATTTTATAGCTGGTGTGTGTAGTATAGAGGTTCTTGGGTCGTTGGCTCAAATTACCTCTTTATCATATGGTAAGAGCTAGAGAGGGTCATTGGGTAGAATAGAGGTTGGCTTAAGACAAGGGAATAAGAATCCTATGTGCTCTACAACCCCTAAAATTTATCAATATTAGAATTGAAATCAACTTGTTAGACCATTTCAAAGTTTTGCGCATGCACCTAGATGAGGAAGTCACCTACCCACATCTTACACAGAGAAAGCCTATATAATTTTGTGCAATACGAAGCTTTACTTAAATTTACTAGTTCATAACCAGTGAAGGGAAACCTTATGATGTTAGGGTTTGACTTTTTATTCATTTATTTAGTTTACCTTCTGCATTGTTACTATCAATAGCATCACCCACTGTTTCCATCATGCCATCATCATAAGTGACATAAATCAAATATTCAAAGAAACTAAATGCAAATCCAATGTACGCTCCCAACTCAGGCACTAAATAATTAACAAGTCAACTTGGTAGTTAACCACAACTTCACATTTTATTCTGGGCAGAGTACAAGAACAAGCAAAAGCATCAAATCTAGAAAGAATACAAAAATAGAATAAAAATATACTTCAAATCCAAATTCAATGAATAAAAAAAATTATACTCAATTCTCTTAATTATCAGATCCACACTATCCCCAACTACCTCCTAAACTTCCTTTATATGTCATTCTGTTACTCACAGTTTACAGAGAAACAAACAGAAGAAGAAGAAAGCTTGAGCAAGAAGTGTTGATCATGGCAGACGGTGAAGACGAAGCTCCAGATATCAAGTCAACTCTCATGTTGATTGTACTCATACTCATCCTGGTGATTATGTGCATGCCACCTCCAAGGCAACGAGCTGTGTTCGTATACCGTTGCTGTTGAGAGATTTATCTCTGCAACTCATGTTTTTCATTTTCTCTCTCTTTAGTTTACTATGGTATGTTCACATAGCTTGTTATGCAATAACATGTCATAGAATAACGCTTTGTTGGTTTTGGCAAAAAACATTTTCTGTATGAAACGGTTTTCTGTATTTGGTTTCCCGTATTGCGTTGCAAACAGCCAAAGAAGCAAAGAATGAATGAATCACAGTAACGAAAGTCATTTTAAAAGTCAAAAAAAAGAAAAAAAAAACCAGTAATGAAAGTCAATTTCTTCTTTTATTGGAAACTCTGTAATTGGAGTGCTAGATAAGTGCTTTCAATTTCACGTCCGTGCCTTGACTGATCTACAATTGTTGAAGCAACTACCTAGGTAAGAGCTAGCCCATAGATGCACGAAGCTGGAGCGAGACTGGGGTGAAGAGTGAGGCATCTATAAGAGTTTCTGCTACTAAGAGCTAGCCTAATTACCCAAAAATGTGGACAAGTATATCCTGACGAGAAAACTATCTTTAATCCTAATGGCATGACATTCCAATGGTAATGATGATTAGGAAGAAGATGAAACATTTTGGTCCATTAAGAGGATAAATAACCTGAAACTATAAACTGGATAAAAATAAAATTAAAAAAAAAAAAAAAAACTAATTTTGAAATGCTAATCCTCAGCATGCTCTCTCTTCCTTTTCTTGTTTTCTTCTACTTTCAGTTCAACATTCTGATCCCAACTTTCCATACTGGCATTATAAGTTTAGCTTCCCTGTCCTTCTACTTGTGAAAGCTATCGATTTCACTATTGTTGATATCTCATTTTTCTAAAATATTGAGGGTCTAAATCCCAGCTTGACGACTATCAATAGGAAGTATTTGGATCCAAAGAGATGATTGTTTAGATACAAGGTCGGGAAAACCTAGGAACATCAAGCTACAGACACCCAAGCAGGTACATGGAATTGGTGGTTCCTTCTGTTTGGCCTAACAATTTGTAGCTAAAACAACTATGGCATCAAAATCCTTAAAAGCCATAGGGGTTGCAGAGGTGGTTGAGCATTTGTAGATCTTGCTCTTTAAGACTGACCAAGGTACAAGTCCAAGGGATGATGAGATGGGTACTTTAATAAAACTCCAGCTACTAAGCTATATGACCTCAAGGATCTGGCATCAGGGTCACAAGGTAGAGCTCAGATGCCTTGTAACCATGACACCAACCTAAGGCGGACACTCGATCCTTCTCTCGACCTAGGCTGGCTTAGGAGCATCAAGGTGCAAAGGGCGAACAAGGCATAAGAGAGGGTCAGCCAAACCTAGGAACCCCCAAGCATACTTTATCACGGGTGGAAGTGAACATGCATGATTGAGTGGATTGTTTGCTCGACTAAAGAAGAGAGCTTGAACACGCCCAAAGACATTCCTTAGAGACTACAATCCGAATGCTTTGGTTTTAGGCTAAAACACCACATATGTATGGCATAGCATGATTCTATGATCCAGTAGCCAGTGGCAAACCTCATTGGTCTAGGTGTCACTTCACAATGCTTGCATGTGGACGCAAGCCACATGGAGGTGATATGACTGAACCCCATAACAATTGGACCCATGTATACACGTAGAGGAATAGGGTTTCATTGACAAACTAATTAATGTAAAGCACTCATCTAGGAGGAACTGGAATTGTGCTAGCCACCATTAAGCCTTCAACACATAATACCAAAAGAACCAAGGCTTCCACCAATAAATAGAACATCAATCAAAGTGAGTGAGAATCTACAAATGGACTATGTACACACATACATATAGGCATCAATACACACAAGCCTAGAGGGGTTAAGGTTCAATTCTCACTTTGAAAACCAATTCCCTCTTCAAATATATATATACAAACATTGCTAAACTATAACTTGGGTGAAATATGTGCAGCATTGCACAGTGGAAACTTTCCCTAATTTTGAGTCGGTGAGGATTGGAAAGACCAAGAAGTACATATAGGTTTAGCAACAGAAATCTGCACACGAAGCACCTCATGAATGGCACCTCGGTGAAGCACTCCAAGAACTTCGTCCTCTTTGGCCATGGCAAGACTGCCCAAGGAGAACGTGCGAGAATGAGACTCGTCCCGCAGGCAGAAACCGTAAAACCACCTGCCAAGCTTCCACCACCGAACGCACACTTCCCTTTCTGAAATTTTGCATTTATTAAGTACTTCCACAATATACTCAGCCTGCAAGCAATGACATTAAAACATTTAAAATAAATAAATAAATAAATAAACATATGAAATTCTCAAACAGCCCACAAGAAGTCAGGATTTTAACATGGTATTAGAGTAAGAGTGTGTTGAGGATCACAATGACAAGCCTAGCCACACGTGCGGAGTCATGTTGGGGATGTAAATTTACTTACATTTCTCTCTAACAGCTTACGATATTAGATGTGATGAGGCTATTAACGGAACATGTAGCTCATCCAAAACCAATACAATCTAGCTTCTTTTTTTTTTTGAACGGCGAAAGTTTGTAGTTAGTTGTTAGATTTGCACATTGGGGAGTTGAAACTTACACCCATATACCTTGCAAGAAAATCTTGGCCTCCCATTTTACTCTTAAGAGTGGAACACAAGACTTCCCCCTTAGGAGAAACTTGGTGGCCAAAGGGTTAACCAACTAGGCTAGAGCCCCTTGGTTAATACAATCTAGCTTCTCATATCTGGCCACGCATTGATCATGTTAATTGAGCAAATTAGCTTGTTTCAGAGCATGATTGTCAATATCAAAAGTCCACTAATTTAAATCATTGAACTCCATACCCCAAATTTAGATGCAAAATACCACCCAGTTAAAGCTGCATTTTTTAAGCCTCCTCATGAAAGAGAGAAGATGTTGTAAAACCCCACCAAAAAAGAGTTTATATAATTGCAAGTTGCAACAACAATATAACATGCCAAGTCTGGCACATAAAAACTACTTTTTCCCCTTGTTTTGTCTATTGAAAGTAGGGGGGTACAAGCAAACCCAGTAAAGAAGAGCTGACGGCTGCAAGGGTTTTAAATATCGGTAAAACGCACATACCACATACCACAGATATGAAGCTTCAATCCCAATAATTATATCTATGGCCTACTGCAACACACTAGTTCGTCAACTAAAAGAAACTCAAGTACCTATTAATCTTTGCTTTAGTTTAACAAAACATTGTAGGTCACAGTCTATGGAACTAAAGACTAAGAGAACTAAAGTAAAATCAAGGGTAGGGAAATGCACATTCAGGAAAATGTGCATATTGTATCCTGATAGTGAACAGAACAAAGAGTATTGAACAAGGAAATTAGCTTGGCAACAGAAGTAACTACCGGAATGCCAAGACAACTAATGCAGTAGTGCAGTCCAACCAAATTAAGCAGCACATTGAGCTTTGGTTTGAAAAAGAACAGCTGCACATCTTTAAATCCACACTGAATTGAGCACAGCTCGTCAATTGCTGCCAGGTATTGTCCAACCTCAATGGATTCAGTGGACGAATGTTGTTTTAAAAAATCCACCAGAACAGTTGCTCTGCTAGCCATCTCATTGTGCTTGTTAATGTAAAAGCCCCTCCATCCCTATAGTTTTTACACACAAAACTCAAACCATTGTAACAAGAAAGTAAAAAAAACATGAGACCAGCAAGTTGGGACATAAAAGGGAATATAACATTTAAAGTCCAATTACCATAACTGGAATTTGACAGGTTTTTAAAATTAAGGGCATGTTTACTTGTTCGAATTACTTCAAAAAAAATTATTTTGTTTTTTTAAAAGTCAAAATTGGCATAAAAATAAATCAAATCAAGCTTCTTAGCCTCCGTTTGGGAAGTGGGTTGACTTTTTGGCTTTTTTGGCTATTTTAGCCTGGGCTTAAAAGCTTGGTTTGGGAAGGACTTTTTGGCTTTTTGGCTTTTTTGAGTTTTTTTTGTGAGAGAATAATGTAATGATTATGGGTTGGATGTGATGTTTTGTTTGTTATGGCTAAAATAGCCTATTTTGTTTTTTGTGGCTAAAATAGCCAAAAAAAACCCAAACCATGGCTTCCCAAACGAAGCCTTATAGGCATTCAAAAAAAAATAATAATAATAAAAAATGAATCTCTCAATTTCAGAGTACACAATCCTATATTTTAGAAGATTAATTTTCATGGAAAATTTTAAATTTTGTACATCTTTTAGTTGTTTCGCTTAGCAACCAAATGCATTATGCATCCATTTATTAAATTTGTGATCGAGCTGATTCTAAAATTTCCCACTTCATATTTTGAATAACAAGTATCTAATTATTTCATTTGATTGTAAAGGTATAATCCTCATAAAGACTTCAAAGTTCAAACCCGGCTAAAAAACAATAAACAGAGTAATAAACCAAAATAAATTAAATTATGTTGGACTATTGATAATCACTTCATTCAAGCACATAACACAAAATTCCCAAAATCAAATAATTGAAACAAGAAACTGAACCCAAAAAAAAGAAAAAAAAGAAAAAAAAGAGCAAACAAGATAATGAACTGAACATGAGAGAGAGAGAACCATGGAGGATCTTGGTTCAAGAGTACAACCAACAACTCATTGTAAGATTTACAAATGATAACAAATTATATCAGCAGTACCTAAATTTTATTCCGTGTTGTTTTGGTAACTAACTCAATTTTTACTTTGAATTCTTGAATTATATCAGTAGTTCCTAAACTTTAGTCTGTCTTGTTTTCGTAACTAACCAATTTTGACATTGAATACTTGATCCTGTATCAATCTCATCAATGGTTTTGACATATAACACGCACATTGGAAAGCATTGTCTATTTTTTAGGGGCAAAATAGACATACCATTGGATCAAAATTGTTAGAATTTCTCCATACCATCCACCTCCACTATCACACACTCCACTACCATCCACCTCCACTATCACACACTCCACTACCATCTTCTCCTCTATATATAGGACTTGTAATATACAGAATATAATCAATCAGATATCAATCAATAATATACATCAATATTTTAACATGGTATCAGAGCAATAAGATTTAAACCTGTATTTTTTTCTCACCGGCGGGCAGCCGGCCGGCACCTCTGCCTTTGCTGCCCGCTGGAATTTTCTACCCATACCTTTCGCACTCTCTCTCTGCAAGTTCAACCAACCTCCATGGCTTTTCTAGCTCGAAACTCACATCGAATGGCCCTAGTCGCATCACAGAGATCAGCAACGATCCACACAACCCTCCCATCACTGGCTCCGCCACACATAAACCGCGTGTACAGATTCTTCCCTGCTACTGCACATTTAATCCCTTGTAGCCTTGCAAATCTGCTCGATTTGTTGAAAATGACGGCGAGAGTGTCAAAGTTGATAGGGTCTTCCAAGAAAAAAAAAAAAAACTTCAACTCCGTTGCCCTCTTCGCCGTTCCGAACCTTACCACCGGAGCTCTGGTCATCCCATCTCTCAACAAAACACTGGTGGCTCCGCCTGACACGTATATAGCTTTACAGCCCCTGTTAGTGCTCGCAACCAAACACCCCTCCGTGGTGGCCATGGGTACCGAGTACTCCCTCCCGTCCAGCAACAGCGGTCCCGCAATCCCCACCGGAATCTGAACAAACCCCACCGGCATCTCACAACACTGTCCCAATATCGACTCATAGTCAAACCCCTCCAACGGCAATCCATCTAGACTCTTCCCGGTAACCATCTCCAACGCCACCCTCCGTATCGCCGCCGCCCTCTTACAGTCCCTGAGTTTTGATTCCAGTGAAGCTTCTTACAGACATACTGTTTCTCTCTCTGAGGAAGCCAACAGATTAATGAGAGGCCACCTTTTCCTCCAGACGGACCATCTGGAACCCACCCCCGTGCTTTGTGCTTAGTTTTGTTGACTGTCCTTGAGGTGATGATGCCTTTGGGCCGAATCTTCTCTTCTTTTGCTTCTTTCCTTTCTTTTTCTTTTACCATTTACATCATCTTTTGTCCCCCACTTTCTCTCTCTCTTTTTCTTTTAAAATAATTTCCAACCCACCGCCCCCACCTGCACTTTATGATTCCTTATTCCACCCATTTGTTTTTATTCCACCCACCAGCGCATGCTTTCCCATTACTACTTTTTTCTTATTATTTTTTTTATTATTCTTATTATTCTTCCCACCAAAAAAAAAAAAAAAAAAAACAAACCTCAAACATTTTCAATTTGCACAACAACCCCTCTTTTATTCATCTCAGGGATCACCCCGAGCACAATTTTACACAAAAAAAAAAAAAAAAAAAAAAACACAACCAACCACAACAGTGGCATTTTTTCTTCTCTACTCTGCTGCCGGTCTCTTCTTCTTGCCTCCGTCTTGGACGGCCCTTGACGGTGTTGCCTCCGTGTTTCCCACTCCACTGGGCACGATCACTACCCCCTGCTCCTCTACTGCAGCATATGGCGGCCCTCCAAATCGGAACATCACGGTGGCCTTCCGCTTCAGCTCCTTGTTTTCTGCCCTTAGCACGCTTATCTCTGCTCGCGCATCCTTATACATGCGTTGGTTGCCGCTTGAATGGGAGATGAAAAAACCATGTGCTCCTTTTTATAACACTGAAAAACATATTACCATGGTCTTCCATGGTTTGGAGAAAACAAAAAAGTTCTATTTTACCAATATTACTTTAGGGCATAACTTTTATAAGTACTATATACTTGCCTTTTAAAAAAATTGAATTTAAGCTTTGAGAGACTTGGGTTGGACGGTGTTTACAATTTTGAGTGGACTCAGATCAATACTCAACGTGTTGAATTTTTTTTAGGGGTGACAAATGACAACCCAATCAACCTAAGTTGTTTAAAAAAAATAATAATTCAAAGGTGAACAATCTGATGTCCAAATGGTGCAGTCCCTGAATTCACTCATCTCTCTCTCTCTCAGCACAACGAAGAGTTTTTCAGACTCTCTCTCTCAGCACAACGAAGTTTTTTTTTTCAGAGGTTTTTCGCAGCTTTTCTCTGCCTCAGCCTCAGCCTCCGTCTTATAGCCGAGGCAGCCACGCGCATCGCGCGCCTCTTGCCACCAGCCGACAAACGGGCACGCAAGCCAAGGCGCCCACGTGCCTCGCCATCCTGTCCGGCACACCTTTTGATGAATTGGGCACGCCTTTTGATGGCACGCCTTTTGACCAATTTAGGCACACCTTTTGAGGGTGCAACATCTACAACGGTCCGACATGACCCCATAAACTGTCCCGACATTTGATTCCGGTTAGCTTTTCCAACGGTCCGACAAGACCCCATAAACTGTCCCGACATTGATTCCGGTTAGCATCCAGTGTCCTCTACCCCGTTATGACACAACCATACAGTGTCCTCTACACCGTTATGACACCCCCCTACAGTGTCCTCTACACCGTTATGACACCACCATCCAGTGTCCTCTACACCGTTCTGGCACACCCATCCAGTGTCCTCTACCACGTTATGGCACCACCTTTCAGAGTCTTCACCAACGGTCTGACACGACCATACAGTGTCCCCTATCTTTTTTTTTATTTTTATGTATTTTCTTTTTTTTTTTATATATTTTCTTGTTTTGTTACTCTCTCCAAACTCAAATTGGTTAGTTTTTATCCTCCTTGAGTTTGCGGGGCTGTTAGAATTTCTCCATACCATCCACTTCCACTATCACACACTCCACTACCATCCACCTCCACTATCACACACTCCACTACCATCTTCTCCTCTATATATAGGACTTGTAATATACAGAATATCATCAATCAGATATCAATCAATAATATACATCAATATTTTAACAGCGGGTCAAGCTGATGGGTTTTGATCTGTGGAGCAGAAGAAGAGTCTCTGCCCAAATCAAGGGCTGGCCATCTGTCTCTGTACAGAGACTCCCACACACAATCCGACCAAAACCACGAGCAACTACCCAACGAACACACATCCGATAGCTTCAAATTCAAAAAGAAAAACGAAACAAAAAAAAAAAAAAAAAAATCATCACATTCAAATAACAATAAAAAAAAAATACAAAAAAAAAACAATTTGCAGGGAAGAAACCTGAAGGGAAGAGGCGATTTTGAGGGCAATATCGTCTGGGAGAGAGTTTTGCATACCCTCGGACTGCTTCATACTTTGGGAACAGTTCGGGGGGAGTGGCGTGTCTTGGGTTCTGTATTTTCTCGCTAAAGAAAATTGCAGAGAAAGTGAGGGAAAACAAAGTATGTTCACGTCATTCCGTGCTGGATTGTGAACAGTGTGCAAGCACGTGTCAAAGCCAAAATGAGTGAAGGATATAGAATCAACTGACCGTCATTTAAGAAAGATGACAAGTAAATCACAGCCATGGATTTGTAGACTTGGAAAAGCGGCCACGGCCATTTGATACAACTTAGGCCTCGTTTGAAATAATTTTTTGATAAATTATAAATACACATTTTAAATTTGTTTTTATAATTTTAAAAATTATATATTATCTTTTGAAATTTTTAACTAATGGACATTTTTATCAATAAATTCTAAAGTTAATTAATATTTTTTAAAAATGTTAGAAATAATTTTAATTAACAATTCAGATAATTTTATTGTTATATATAAAATTAGTTAGAATTTTTTTTCTATTAATTTTTTAAATAAAAAATTTTGATAAAGGGTTATTTATAATTTTTAAAATTACAAAGCACAATTCATATTTTAAGCAAATTTTAAAAAATATATTTATAATTTGCATTTTTTTTTCTAGATATATTACATGTCCTTAAATTTTAGGATTTTATGAATTTAGTTATCAAAATTTTAGGTAGCGTTTGGTAGAGTTTTAGAATTATGATTTGAGAATAGAGTTGTATTTTGATTTTGTGAGTTTTTGAATTACGATTTAAATGTGAAAAATTTGTTTGGTTATGAGTTTTGAAAAGAGTTTTGAATTGAGTTTGAAATTTTTGATGTACCATATCATATTTGATTAAAAAACTTATAACTCATAACCAAATACATAATTCAAAATTTTATTCAAAGCTTTTAAAAAAAATTTAAAAAAATTAAAAATATTTTTTATTTAAAATATAAAAATAACAGGTGCCAAAAAAAAAAAGCACGAACACTGTTCCGATCAACTGGCCGAACGCCTGGAAGGATGACCGAATAGACGTGTTTTCAACAGTTGATGTAGAATCAATTTTTGAAAACTTTAACCAAACACCACACTCAAACTAATGGGTGAAATTGAGTTTTGAAAGCCTTACCAAACACAATTTTTTTCTCTCACAAAAATAAAAAAAGTCAAAACAAATCAAACCAAATAAACTTTTAATCCCAAGTTAAAAAAACTAACTAAAAAAGTTAATTGTCAAACGAAAACTCATTACAAAAACAAATTAACACTTATAATATCACATTATTATAAACCAAATTTAGGAATTTTTATTTTTATTTTTATTGAACGTCTTAAGTATTAAACATCAATAATATTAGAAATCTCAAAAATTTTATTAATTCTTTTTACCAAATGCCTCAGGATCCAAATTTTTTTTTATCAAATACATATTTGAGACATCTACTAAAAAAATTCAAATTTTTTTTTTATCAAATACATATTTGAGACATCTACTAAAAAAATTGATAAAAGTTTTAAAATCCCTAATATTTTTCGTTAAGACTTTTGTTAACATATTTCCTGTGCTAAGAAAGCATTAAATGTAAATAATTACACCTACCTATATAGAAAGAATACAAAGCTGTCTCAACTCAATAAATGTTTTTATAATAAGACCAAAATGTCATTTTTATTTTCTTTTCATTTTACCTCTTGACATCACAATTCTTATTTTTTTGTATTTTTTGTTTCCTTTACACTCACTCATCCACGTGAAAGTAGAGAACTATTTTTTATTCATGATCGTGTTAGGTTTTTTTTTTTTTTTTTTTTTGGGTGAAATTTGATTTGGGTTTGTTAAAATACATTATTAATTTAGTTGAATTTTTTGAATTTATTTTTTAAAAAAATATAAAAAGTCAGTTTGATAAAAAAATAAATAAACACTCATTATTTTTATATAATTTTCTCTTTTTGATAAACAAGTAATTTGGAATTTTTAAAAATATCCTTTTTGTATTTATTTTTTATCAAACTAAATTTTAATTTTTTAAAAATCAACCAAATAAAAATATTTTGCAGCTTGAAAGTTTTGTTTTACAATATAAATATTTTGAGTGGCTCACTATGTTAGTACAGTTTAAAGAAAAACACTACCTTATAGTATTTTTTTTTTATTCTAACATCATAATATTACACATAAATGAAATTATTTTTGTCCATGTAAAGAAAAAAATTAATTTCTTAAAAATATTAAATGTATTTTCACTTTTACTTCACTTTCTCCATATAAATAAAAATTATTAAAATTATTTACTACTTTCTTAACATAGTAGATCCTCTTATTAGACCATTTCCAACGGTTCACCAAACTTGATATTAAATTTGAATTTTGGTGAAAAAGTCACTATTTGGTGCCCAATGATTGCACCAAATCGGTATCAAATTGAGAATTCACCAAAAAATTCATCAAAGTGAGAACAGGCAGTAACTTTTACCATTTCACTGTGCGTGACCGTTGGGGAGACCAACTGGTCCACCGATTTCCTTACAAAAATTTTGGTTCAAATAGGTCAAAAAATTTTAAAAAGTAAAAATAAAATAAAAATATGCTTTACCGGCCGACCGGCCAATCAACCGATCCACCCTTGTTTTGATGCCCAACATTGAAACAGTCTGTATCAAAATAAAAAAAATAAGTCTTTTTAACTGAAATTTGGTGAAAAATTTAGCACGGTCTAAAACATTACTTTTGAGCCACCCTTGCACGAGGGCACAACCATACATGTATAAACACGTACGATGTTTAGATTTTGTAGACATCCTCTTCACTATAATGTCCACCAATCGTTTGGATTCCACTTTGATAGTGCATGTTTCTCAACGGCCATGAAACACCACCACCACCCTCTTCCACCAACAACCACCTCAAGCACTTTGGTTAATTCTTTACTTTCTTTTCCATGAAATCTTCATCTTCCTAGTCAGACCCACAACCTCATTTGCCCAAACTTCAATCTTCTTCATCTCAAGATGTCCATTTGTGTACCCTTCCATGGATTCACACTCTACTCACCAAAGGGCCAAAGCTTCAAGAGACTCTTTTCTTCTCATTTCATCAATCATGCTCAGGTAATCCCATTCCCATGTTCTCTACCTTTATCTCCTCTGAATTTATCAGAACCCTTTAGGTTTAGCAGAGAAAAAGCACTCAAACCCATCAGAGCTTCAATTACCCCAACTGTTGAAACCCCCAAAACTTCATTCAGAGACAAAACCCCAAAAGAAATCAATGTTTTGGTAGTGGGTTCAACTGGGTATATTGGGAAATTTGTTGCTAAAGAGTTAATTAAGAGAGGGTTTAATGTTATTGCAATTGCTAGGGAGAGTAGTGGCATTAAGGGCAGAAATAGCAAAGAAGAAACCCTAGAACAGTTGAATGGGGCAAATGTTTGCTTTTCGGATGTGACCCATTTGGATTCTTTGGAGAAAAGTTTGGGGAATTTAGGGGTTTCAATTGATGTTGTTGTGTCATGCCTTGCTAGCCGAAGTGGTGGTGTCAAGGACTCATGGAAGATTGATTATGAGGCAACAAAGAATACTCTTGTTGCCGGTAGGAATCGTGGGGCTTCACATTTTGTTTTGTTGTCTGCAATTTGTGTGCAAAAGCCCCTTCTTGAATTTCAGCGTGCAAAGTTGAAATTCGAGGCTGAATTGATCAAACAAGCCGAAGAGGATGATGGATTTACTTATAGTATTGTGAGGCCAACGGCATTTTTCAAGAGTTTGGGTGGACAGGTTGAATTGGTGAAAGATGGGAAGCCTTATGTGATGTTTGGGGATGGGAAGTTGTGTGCTTGCAAACCTATTAGCGAGTCGGATTTGGCTTCATTTATCGCAGACTGTGTGTTGAGTCAGGATAAGTTTAATCGGGTTTTGCCCATTGGTGGACCGGGGAAGGCATTGACACCATTGGAGCAAGGGGAGATTCTGTTTAGAATTTTAGGGAGAGAACCAAAATTCTTCAAAGTGCCAATTGAAATAATGGATTTTGCTATTGGGGTTCTTGATTTTCTTGTTAAGATTTTCCCTGCTATGGAAGATGCTGCTGAGTTTGGTAAAATCGGAAGGTATTATGCTGCGGAGAGTATGCTGATTTTGGATCCTGAGACTGGAGAGTACAGCGCTGAGAAAACGCCAAGTTATGGGAAGGACACATTGGAAGAGTTCTTTGAGAGGGTACTCAGGGAAGGAATGGCTGGTCAGGAATTAGGGGAGCAAACAATCTTCTAATGTTCCCATTGTGGGAAAAGCTTGTAAATTTGAATACTTCATTGATTGAATGTACCAATTTTGCCTCAACCGAGTAATTTAAGGTATGCAGTTCTTATCTCTTGTAACGGCCTAATGGGCCTTTTTACCAGGTGCAAATGATGTGATTTTTTAGAAATGCTTGCAACATTCAAAATTAAAATTTTGTAATGAATGCCTTATTATTTGTTGATACATGCTCATATGTTTGTTCCCTTTTTGGTGAAATTGTGCAGTAGATTGAATTATGTTTACATCATTATCATTGTCTAGTTTATGATGTCTTGACAGACTCTGATCTCTGAGTGAGTCCAGCCCTAAATTAAATTATTTTCACTAGTATACTGAAGGTTCGTTTGGAAAGTGGCTTTTTTAGTGTTTTTTTTTTTTTGTGGCTAAAATCTGAAGTGAAAAAAACTGAAGTGGTTGGGAATGACTTTTTGAATTTTTAGGAAAAAATGTGCAAAAAAACGTAGAGATAATGGGAAGGAATCTTTGACTTTTTTGTTTGGCTTTTTGGTATTTGGTTTATTGACTAGTAGAATATTATTGATTGATCACTTCTTCAACTATCCTTTCCTGCATCCTTCCACTTTTTGTCAGTGAGATTACCTCTCTTTTTAAAAAGGCAATTTTGAACTCGACTCCCCATTGAATAGCTATGACTTGATGAGAGATAACAATCTTACATACTCCCGTTGAATCTGGTGATGATACCTCATTTTGTCCATTTAATTTTTGTTAAACCCTCCGAGTCCCTTTAATCTTATCCACGTGATTGATAAGAGTCATTTTTACTTCATTTTGCCTCCAAATGTAATGACTTCACGGGTAGTGAGTGATTGTGCTGGAGGCTTTGACCCTTGGGCAGCTTTCACTCTGGCTTCAACTAGCCATTTTCCTCTTTTGTACGACTCTCACTCTGTTGGCCCTCTCTTGCATATCCTTATTGGTAACTACGATTTTCACTCTAATCGCTTTCCATTGGCAGCAGTTGGTCCTTTTCCTCTTTGGACAACTCTTCTCACTCCAAGTAACCCATTCTTAGGTAACCTTTTTACAACAATTCTCACTGTAGTTCCTTTACACCCCCTGAGACATTTCTGCCTCACCTAAAAGTCAAAAAGCTGCTTTTAGCCATCTTCTCAAAACACCTAGCTCTTTTCTCTACTTGAGATGGCTCTCTCTCTACTCTAGGTAGTTATCTCTTAGGTAGCCCTTTCTGTGGTTCAAACCCTAAATGTGGCATTAGCTTTTAAGCCAAATGTTTTGTACCTAAGCAAAGGTTTGATGGAGGGAGTGAGATTAAACCCTATAATCCTTTTGGATCATAAGTGCTACATATTCCCTTCTATATAACCGGATCTCCTTTTTTTGATAATATGGAACCGGGTCAAGTTAGTTGGTTTCATTTTTTCAAAACCAAATGTCAAGTCCTTGTCTCCCTACCTGGGTTCAGGAAAACTTGATCAATCAATCATCATCGGTTATTACAGAGACAACCACTTTATTTATATTTTACATCAAATCAATATTATAAATTATCAGATGCTACAAAAAGTAAATAGTTCCGACCTAAATGCAGCTCCATTTATTAGGCAACTAGGCAGGGTGGAGCCCTTGAAAGATCTAATACATAGCAAGGCCTAGCTAGGATATAACATCTCATCAGCATAATGTTCAACTAGCCTTTGGTTGCCCAATAAATGTTTTGTTCATTACACTCAGTTGGAGTAGCCAAGTTAGGTGCTGTTAATTGCCATCTCACCGTTAAGGTCTTTCTCATTTCTTGGATTTTTCATCATCTTTGATCTCTAGGATTGAATTAGGCAGAATAATCTATTGCAATAAAATATTCAAAAAAAAATATTTTAATCATTTTACAATGAATGTCTTATTTAAGGATAAGTTAAGTTGTCTCACTTACACTGTGACAAAATAATCCTGTAAAACGGCCATTAGGATAATCCTCGGGTCACAAAATTTGAATCAAAATTGAGATAATTCTATTCCAAAATAAAATAAAACGTAGCCTAAAGGTGCTAGTCTTATTCTAATCACTTGCTTCATTATTGGTATGTAGAGTGGTCCTGATTGATAGTTTGCTAGATTGATAGATATGAAAACTACCAGTTTGTGATGTCATGCTATGCACTCAGACAAGCCTTATCCCTCCAACTTCAATTTCAACCTTCTGTTTTCATTTCTCTGCCTATCCCACTACTGAAAGTGACATATTTCACTCAAGACCACTTTAGTTTTAACAAGTGATGTCACATTTAGCCAACAATTGCACATGTGGATATCATTGTCATCCATAATGTTTTGTACTCAACAAAGCCAAACACTAATACTGTGTTTGGTTTGGGGGATTTGAGGAGGGATTTGGAAAGGAAAATGAAAAAAGTAGATAAAATGTGAATAAAATATACTTATATTTCACCTAATTTCACACATTTTTTCTCATTCCTTTTCTAAATCCCTCTCCAAATCCCCCAACCAAACACAGCGTAATTGTATTTGGACCCAACAAATGTCATCAAATAAATCATTCTTCGTTAGGAGATTACAAGTTCAACTTTCCTTCTTTCAATATCCCCCAAAAAAGCAAAAAACAAAAGTCGAGGGAAGGGCTGGGATAAACGGGAGAGGGAGGAGGGAGTAAATGGTGGGTTCTCAATGTGAACAAGTTCATTGATGTGTTTATGATAAGTGGTTATGATTTGGTGGATATTTGATGAATGGTGGTAGTGATCTGGTGTGGTAAGTTCAAAGTAAGGATTAATATTAAGTTGATAGAGTGAGTACTAGAGTGACACGTGTACTATAAAACTAATTGTTCCATTAGATAAGCTAACAGAGATGAATGGATTGTTGTGATTGACATCTATTTAGAAGATTATATGAAAAAATTAAAATTAAAGATTCATTTGTTACAAGGGTCAAACCAAATTTTAAAGAAATACAAAAACAAAGCAAAACAGTAGTTCAACTGCATTACAGATAATTGAATATTCACATAAATACACAGACAAATTTGGGTCCGCCACTGCACAATCAAACAACATATCTACATGGCACAAATGAAACAGCACTAGTTCCACTTGACACTTGCTTAGCAAAGGCTGCCTGCCTTTTGCTAGGATTCAAACTTGGGAAAACATACAAACACAGAAAATGTGCAGAGAAAAGTGCACAGAAAATAAAATATGGGGCTCATATTGATTTTAGTTGTGGTCCACATCACATCGGATTTGAATCTCTTCATTTTCCTTGCACTTTTCGCTGCACAAATTCTGTGTTTGTAACACTGCTGTTTTCAAATTCATTTTTTGATGTCGGAATCCCTACGTGGGGGGATCTTCTTGGAAAGGGAGAAAGCGGAGAGTATGATGAGCAATACCAGCACAATGGCGGCAACGAGAGAGACTGCAACAGAGGCTGCGAGGTGTTGACAGAATTTGTGATAGTTGTTGCATATCTTGGCCCAGCCGAAATGAGAGTTCCCTTTTAATCCGATGTAAGCCACTGCCCCTGCAGCTCCAGTCGCTGCAGCTACAATTCCCAAAATGAGCTGCACCATAGGCATTATTATAGGCAAATTGAGACAGTTGTTTCACAAAATGCAGTGTTGGCAACATTAAATTCACCCTAGGATTACGATTGTTTACTTGAAAGAGAGGTTTGCTCACTCCTAATATTACTACTAGTCTACTAATAATCACTACAGTAATACTATGAATACATAAATTTTTTTAATAAAAAGTGCACAAAATACAGTGTCGGCAACATATGTGTTCAGGGAAGAAATAGCTTACAACATCGAAGATCACAAAATGGGGCAACAACTTTGTGGAGCAACCTGGCTTAAAAAGTGCTAAGATGGATATCACTGTAGTAACAATACTGTGTAGGCCAGCCACAGAGAGTGCAGCTACAAAGTATCTGCATGCATGAATTCATAGTTGATTTTTTAGACTATGATTTATTTTATTTTGATAGTTAACCTAACCTAACCAAACCAAACAAAGTAACAATATATATTTTTTTATTATTATTTTTTTATTTTTATAGTTAAATCAACATTTTTAAATACTAAACAAAGTGACAATAAGAAGGGGCAGAGCTTGTTTGGTGTGCTCATTGAGCATGAGCAAGATGAAAAAAGAAAAAGAAAATCCAAGATTGTGCCTGATTGGCTGTCATATATATATATTACTTTGAAGCAGTTATATATGAGAAAGTGTTTTTGGTAATAAGATTTAGGCAGTAGTTACATGAGATAATTTCGAAAAGAAAAATGATTATGATCAAGTTTCATATTCTTGATTGTGTGTTTCATATACTAGTATATATAGCCCATCGAGTATAAGGATATGATGCGTGCCTATTTATGTTGTTGGATTAATTTATTAGATGTGTTTAACCCAAAATTAGTTGACTCGAATTCGAATAGTTAAAAGAGACGATATGAGACAAGTCTAACACTTTCAAATATATATAATTCAGTCATATGTGAAAATGACAAAGAAATAAATGAGATGAGAAATATATATTCAAGTTAAAACTAACTATAGGTAAATGAAACTTTAAACTACATGAACCAGACTTTAGTATATGTATATACAGAGATATGTTCTTTTCATGCATAATGGAATGCATCTAAACCCCCATGGGTTGGCCTAGAGGTAGAGGCTTGGGACTTAGGAGTTTACTCCTCTCTAGTTCTTAGGTTCAAAATCTCTTAGGTATTATCAAGTCTTGTGTTGGGCCAGTCCATACAGAGCTTTGCTCTAACTTTAAATGGGCCCCGCTAATGGACGGTGGGATTGGTCCCCCAGGGATTAGTCGAAGTGCGTACAAACTGATCCAGACACCCTAAGTTATCAAAAAAAAAAAAAAAAAAGAGAAAAGAAAAGAAAAGAAGAAGGAATGCATCTATCTTTTCTTCATACCCCACAAGGTGGGAAAATGGGACAATCCAAATCAGCAATCCATTAATGAAGCATCAAAATTAAATTGAAAACTTAATCGATCATATCTGCTTCTCTCTCTTTCTATCTCTCATTAATTTATTTTTGGGTGTGGGGCCATCTTTCTCTCAATTATCAACAACTTGCAGTCTGTCCCTGCTTTGGGCATCAAAAACCCACTTCATAAAAAAACAATCCTAGTGAAGTATACTACTATTATGATGGCTCAACAGCTTTGTGACATATACATGCTAAGAAAAGCTAGTTCTAGCTCTATTTTAGGTGCTTCATTTTCCACTAGCAAATCTTGTGGTGGTGGCCCTGTGGAATCTATCTGGTTGGAGATTCAGAGAGAGAATCTGTTCAGAGTAACTGGCTGTGCGGTACTCTAGAAGGAGGGCTAGATCAAGTTATGACTCGAACTCGTTTTGACAGTATATGTGGATTTTTTTGTTGCAATATTTTGTATTGTTGGGTCATTTAAGTCTCTCTTATCTAGTTCGGGTTTATATAATTGTGTTTAGAGAGAATTGTCATGTGTTGGCTTTGCCACTTTATTTACTTTTACCGAGCAAAAAAATAAAAATAAAATAAAATTAGTGATTACTGTAATATTAGAATTTCTTTATAAAATTTTCATAACACTTTTTTCATTTCAAACCAAAACATTTATCATTGTGACTCATGATTTTAAAAAAATGTCACTGCCATTTGGGATGAGTTTTCAGTGTAAAAAAATTATTTGTGAATAATTTTTGTGTATTTTATAAATTTAGTATGCCCCCAAAATCTGGCATGGTTTCACAGTTCACACCCAAAATGTTAAATCGCGAATTTAAAGTGAATTTGGAAAGCAAAACTACATGTATCCACTGCTAATTTCTCAAGTACAAATTTTGAATAATTTCAATTGCTAAGGGTTCGTTTGGGAGGTGGGTTGGCTTTTTGACTTTTTTGGTTATTTTAGCCTAGGGCTAAAAAGTCTCGTTTGGGAAAGACTTTGATTTTTTTGGCTTTTTTAGATTTTTTGTAAAAGAAATAATGTAATGATTATGGGTTGGATGTGATATTTTGTCTTATGAGACTAAAAAGCCTATTTTGTTTTTTGTGACTATTTTAGCCAAAAAAGCCTGGCTTTTTTCTTCCCAAACTCGGACCTAATTTTAGAGAATTCCATCAACAATTTTCAGATTTTGAAAAGAAAAAAAAAAGATTTTTATGAATAGAAATTCAAATTTTTTTGAATCTGTTCGCTTTATGATCCAATCCAACTCTAAAACTCACAAAGTTCTATGAATAGAAAAATGGTTGCTTAGAACAACACCTAATAACTACCAAAGTATTTATTACATATGTAGTCACCTGCAAGTTGGCACAAGGTGTGACCAGTGAAAAGTTAGGTGCTAAAAACTAAAGCAGAGCTTCCATGGCAAACATATTCATTTTGATAGTGACAAAAAAACATTAAGAAAGATAAAATTAAAACCCAAAAATTGAAAAAAAAAAAATCATATTTTCGTTGTCTTTTTTCATTTTTTTTGAAAAATACTAATCCCTTTTTTTTTTTTCCTGAAAAAAGATTTCTAAAAAAATTCTAAAAACAACCCACTTCTTAAGAAACACCAAAATTTATTTTTTGAAAACTATGGGTGTTCTTGAATTTTTCCATCCTTTGTTTCCGAAGCAGAAAAAACACAAACACAAACACAACAAAACAAACCTTTAATTTTTTTTTATATGAACCAGCTATAACATTAAGCCACTTGGCCTGTGGCCTAAGAAAGAGACTTTTTCCGCAAAGAAAATTATGAATATTTTCAAACTTTTTATTATTTTGTTTTTAAAAACACAAAAAATGAAAAAATAAGTACATGCATGCATGCAACTTACATGAAGGCCGGTGAATAATTGAATTTCTCTGGAACTGGAACTGGAACGGCCACCCGAGTGAATGGGCCATGCTTCTTCTGATCACCAGTGACCATCACCACCACGGCCGTCACGGCCGCTGCAAACAATATCACCCTTAGAACCACGTCCGCCACCACAAAGCAGTCCGGGACTTTAGACTCCGGTGGTGGCTCAGCCTTCTCGGGCACGGGTGCTGGGGCTTCCGGTGGCGGCGCAGCCTTTTGGGGCTCTGGTGCAGGCTTATCTGTGGATTCCATGGACTGTTGTGTGTAGGTGGCTAAAATTTTGTCTGAATGGTAAGTTGGTGTAGTAAGGTGGATATGAAAACTAATATATACACATGAAAATTATACAACATGATATGATAATAATATTTTTATAATTTTAAATAATGATAACAATGTCAATTGTTATATAAAACTCCGGTTGGTATAACATTACTCGTTTATAAATGAGTAAATTATTTTAAAAAGTTACAATAAACTTCATGAGGTTCATATAATTACACTCACTATTTTTAATAAGATTAAAATAATTAAAACTAATAAACGTGACTTGTAGATGTATGGATAAATAAAAGTAAAATTTACATTCTAATATAAAAGAAATTACTATTTTTTATCTATATGATGAATAAATTATTAATGAAAAGAAATTGATTATCATATAATTAAAATTGAAAAAAAAAAACTCAATATAATTACATCAAATTTGTAAACTTAATAATATAATTTTTTCAAATTTAATTTAATTTTAAAAAAATTAGTGAAACATTCATCTCTAACTTTGTGTAGTAAAAAAGATTCAAAATATATTTTTTTTATTAGCTAAGATCACTCAATATTTTCACAGAGAAAATTCAATTCAAAAAAATTTCAATCCCGACTCAAAGAAATTTCGAAATTATCTGTGAAATCAGAGAAATTTTGATGTGAAATTTGAAATTTATTTGAGTCGGACAAAATTTTTTTAAATCGAATTTTTTCTATAAAAATATTAAGAAATCTTAAAAAATATGTAGAGGAAAGATGATGGTGTTTGTTTAAGGGAGATTTGGTGATAGACCCCTCACTGTCTAATTTATTTTTTAAAAAGATAAGAATTATATAAGTATTTTTAAAATTTTTTAATATTTTAAAATTTATTTTTTTATTATATTATCCTTATATCTATTAGCTCTCTTATTAAGCCATCTTCATAGTATATTTCAGAGTAAAATTTTATTTTAAATTATAATAAATTTTATTTTTACTCTGAATCAGAGTAAAATTTACTGTGATTCAAAGTAAAATTTTATATTTTTAAGCAAATTAACATGTTTTTAACCAGAGTAAAATTTTATTCTGAATCAGAGTAAAGTTTACTATGATTCAAAGTAAAATTTTATATCGTTAAGTAAATCAATATGTTTTTAACCAGAGTATAATTTCAGAGTAAAATTTTACTTTGAAAGTATAATTTTACTCTGAATCAGAATAAAATTTACTATGATTCAAAGTAAAATTTTATATTATTAACTAAATCAACATGTTTTTAAACCAGAGTAAAATTTTACTGTTATAAAAAATAAAATACATACTACATGAATGAATCAGAGTCAAATTTTATTGTAAGATCTATTAACAAATTAAAAAAAAAAAATCCGATTGAAAACAAAGAATCAAAGATGACATTTAGATCCACAATACAATTTGCAACAAATGCCCTACCACGTCCTCCAGTTCTTCCGTGCAAATAAAGATCACGACTCAATCAGGACGCAACAATCCACAGTCGACAAACAATTGTGCATGTGATTTGCGAAATTAGACCCGTTCAATAAGGAAGACAATTTCCAGGAAAGTAAAACAAATCTCAAAGAGTCGCAACATTCCATGAAAAGACAATAAATCACAAAAATCAACTTCCAATTTTCAAACCGTGATCAAATTGTGTTGTTCAAATTATGAAATTAAATAAATAGATTTATGAAGAAATCAAATTATATACCAAGAACATATGCTGATAATTACAATTAAATTTCAACAGAAATACACAAAACAATAAAAGGGTAAAGAGACGAAACCGAAGCCTGCACGGAAGCAGTTTCTTTAAAACAGATTTCGCCGCCTCACAGGTCGAGTGCTTGAAGAAACCCGGCGTCTGTCTCCCAGGATACGACGGTCAAAACCAGCTACAGCAAAAGCACTATCTGTCTAGCTTAGCGAACAAAACAATGGCAGCACTCTCTCACAATAGGAACTATCAAGCAAACTGACTTGTAAAATGGAAGCAAAAATTTCTATATTGAAATTTAACAAGAGGGTTTCAATTTATACATGTATAGGGGAGAGAGGAAAAGCCTCCAGCCTTTAAGGCTAGTCATTAAAACACCAAGTATCCAAAGCCCATTTCCACAAAATGAAAAGTATGGATGCCGAAAGGATTCACACCCTTTAGCCAAGAAAAAAGATTTAAATACTCTTTAAAATCCTATTCATGAATCTAACATCATGAAGCAATTTCTTGGCAATTTCTTATTCAAAACCCAATGGTTTTTGGCTTACTTGGACCCAACACAAAAAATGGTTAGGACCCACTTTAATATTTAATTAAAGTCACCACACTTTAATATTAAATTAAAGTCCCCAAAAATCATTTTTTCCAACAAATTGCAGAAACAAATCCTGGTTGCAAATCGGAATATCAAAAGCAGATGTCAATTTCCAAAATCGAAGCACAACTTCAGATCTATGTCGAAGATCAAATAGCGACATTGAACCAAAGGTGAGGGTCAAGCCATCAATCCAGATCTTAGGCAAAATTTTGAGCTACAAGGTCGACTCCAAATCAAAACTCAAAATCGAGTTCATAATAGTGAAATCACACCAAATTCGAAATGTCACAAACCAGATCTGTAATGTTATTAGTCGAATTCAGATCTAAGAGTATATTTATTTTTAAATAAATAAATAAAAATATATTAAAATTTTAAGTTATAAAATCATGTAATTATAAGTATATTATTGATATGATTTTTTTTACAAATAATTTATACACAGCAATCTAAATGATGAGCCTATCATATTAATGAAATAAGACCCACTATGGGCCTACAAGGAGTGAAGTGGACAATTTAATTTTGACAAATTGGAGATAATTCTGGCCCTACGTTGTAAAAAAAAATTGTAGCAAGTTAAAAAGTGATAATCTAAATACAAAAGTTAAAAATATTTATTTTCCAATTTTTTAATAATTAATTTTTAAGATTTATTAGTGCAGGTCATGGCAAGGTAAAAAAAAATGATAGCCTAAATTCTGAAGTTAAAAACATTTCTTTCCTTAATTTTTTAATAATTAATTTTTTCATTTCATCAAGCCATATTTTGACACAAATTTTAAAATAAATTTAAAAAGTATAAACACCTCATAAAATACATCAAATTGAACAGTTATTTATCGTTTTGGTGCTTAATTAATTGTTGAATTTGGGGTTTATGTGTTGTTTAATTAATATTGAGATAGAGATTGGAAGTTTGGTGTAGTGAAAAAATATTGATTGATCACTTCAGAGTTGTTGTCACAATTATTATGGTCCATTTTTTATTGTTTTAGGTGGAAGAAAGGTATCAAATGAAAACCCACTGGAATTGTGGGCCGTCACAATATGACCTAAGCAATTTGTTTACCCAATCAAATATGTTCATTATTTTTTAATTTTAAGTTTTAAAAAAAAAAAGTTTATTTCAAGATAGAGAGGCAGGCTATGGTAAAATTATTTTTATATTGTTGTGATTACTATTATTGAATTAATTTAATATTTTATGTAGGTGATGTATATATAAGGACTTAAAAATGAATGGAATTGATCATTAAAGTTTGTAAAAACTTAATGAGCTAAACTAGATCATTCAGTAGTATCTTGTAAAGTCCACGTTAGTTAAATATAAAATAGTATCTTACTCTTCACAAAATCATTCAGGATTTAATTCTTGAAATCAGACCATAAAAAGTAACATCATGAATTTTTTAATCCAACATGAATGACCTAGTCTTAATTAAATTGGAAAAAAAAAATTAATCGAAATGGATATAAATTGTGCTCCGACAGCCTTGACGGCTGAACCCAAAAAAATTGTATATAGTCAGTGTGCCATTATTGATTAAACAAATTAAATCATCCACAATATAGAATATATATGTGAGAAAATGAATGATTGGATCGCAAGAAAGAAAAGACTGGGAAATTTAATGAAATCTTCACTTAGTGGGGTTTGACAACTACCCAATCTCTATCTTTTGATCTTCTAAATATAATATTCATTAAGTTTTTAATACTTTAGGGGTCACAATAATTTATAATTGAATAATATGATACATTTTGTGTTGTAAAAATGTTTGGATGAAAAAATTATTAATAAACTTGAATCTTAATGTGAATATGCGGATATAATTTGGTTTATTAATAGGATCCTTGATTTTTCCAAAACAAAAAGAGAACATAGTCCAAAATGTTGAGACCATGAGGGACAAGAGGTTTAGCATGTGTACCATTCTTGGTGTATATTTATTTAAAAATTAGGAAAATATTTCTCTGTAATTTTAGGTAGTAGGAGAGATGGGTTATTTGGGATGTTTTAAATAAATATACTTTTTGTCTTTTTAGACTAAAAAGTTAAGGAAAAAAAGATAGATGTTTGGGTTAACTTTTTGACTTTTTACGAAAAAATGTGTATTAAAAAATTATATAAATAAATGTATAGGAGAAGTGATTGACTAGCCCGTACAGTAGTTAGGCAATGTAGTTGGCTGTTGGGAGATAGAAAATGGTTACTTCCTTTTCGAGCTTGAATTGAACAGTGTTGTTCGGCCCGTGTGGGCCCACCATGGGTCCCGTTTTGCTAATCAGAACAGTTCAATATGTAGAACTCGTCGAGTACTCTATGCTTTCAAAAAATCACGTTGATCGAATATCAATAGTTATCTGATTGTGTTAGTTTTTTTGTCAACCGTTAACTATAACACCATATATTGTTTATACAAAACTGATTTAATTATGTAGCTATCCATATTCGATTATCGTGATTTTTTACAAGCATATAGTATTCGACGAGTTCTACACATTGAACAGTTTGAATTATCAAAACGGGATCCGTGGTGAGCCCCCACTGGCCCAACATTACCCTCTAATTTAATAAATATATATACCTAATTTTTTTTTTCCTTTGACCGCCTTTCCATCAATTCTTAGTACCAGTCACTTCTTTGTATTAAAATATGTAATAAATTAATTTTTTTATATTTTTAATTTGTGAACAGTGAAAATTTTTTAACTTT